ACACACACACGAGTAATGAGCAGGAAGAAGTGAGAATGTAGAAATGAATTCCTTAGGAATTGTTTCAACCCTGGAACGGTGGAACATTGAAGAGCAAGGAAAAGCAATCTTCAGTCTTCCTGAGGAAGAATTCAAGACCTTGGCAGTGCAGGGCTGGTTGAGAGATATTTGTGAACTTGCTTTTCACATTATAAAAAGCAAAAGGTATTTTTTTCTTTCTTTCTTTTTTTTGTGATACTGGAAATTGAACTCAGGGCCTTGTGCATGCAAAGCAAGCACCCTACCAACTGAGCTGTATTCCTAGACCCAAATAAGAGGCATATTTTTAGTAAATCTAACTGGCCATCTGATTACTAATGAATAAAATTAGTGTTATTAACCAAATAGTCTTTCAGATTTCTACTAATTCTTTCTGGGTGTCTTTTTTTTTTTTTTGGTGAATTGATGTCGATTGCTTAGTAGACACAACCCTATGTGAGTTTTTTCTCAACATAATTTGTATTGACATTTAAATTTGAAGATAGTTGGGTGTGAGGAGTTGTCCTATAGGTTTTATGGCATTTAATGTCATCATAACTTGATGCCTCCCTCCATCCTTCTGATATATATTTATTTATGAATTCCTGTATTGAAAATATATTTAGTGAATCCCATAGGTTGGTATAAAATAATGGCCCAAACACATATGATGCCTATTCTCATGATGTTTTAGGTCTTGAAAGGATAAGAAACATGAAGCGAGTAAGTATAGAGATGGATTTATGAATTCAAATGGTGATAAGCACTTTAAGAGAGAAAGACAATAGCTTGTGAGTATAGTAAGCCAATGACAGGCAGATACAATCAAAGGAGTCACTAAAAATAGCATTAAACAAACACGTTTCTTCAATATTTGTATGTTTTTACTGTATCATCTAAACTTGATACAGGAATCTAACTCAATTGGCATTTCCACATTGGCACTTAGTCAATAAAAAGCACCTCAACCAATACTGAGGTGGGATGGGATTAGAAGTTCTTTTCCAAAGCCTCTCAAATTCTTGTACATATCTGACTCTTCTGGTGTTGGTTGTAAGACCATCTTCAGCAAATGGTTTTGCAACACATCAGCTCAAGATCAGACAGAAGTCTTATTCCCCAGAAAGTTAAGATCCTAATACCCAAGGCATTTGCAGGCAAATTTTAGGTGGTCTTGCATCAGCTGAAGTTTTCAGTGTCATTTTTACATTGACCTTTAGCTTGTGTGTTGTGAAATCCTCAAAGACATTTCAAAAATAAAGCCCACTAACTTGACTTCCTCCCCAGTGACTGAGAGTGTGAAACTCCCTCATTATGACTAAGGAAAGAGAAAAATGTGATAATGATGCCCTGTAGTCATGGTAGTGCCCAAACTCAGAAGACTATTAATGAGAGGAAAAGGAGAGAAATGATCTGTACCCTGTCTCTATGGATTAGAGGCTACCGGTCACCAAACAAACAGCTGGGCCAAAGTGCTAAACAGTAAACGAAGAGTGATGGGCATTGTTTATATGCAATCAATTTATTTCAGTAATGATCTAAACCATTCAACAAGTGAGTGCTATCACTGAATTAACTTGATTCACTATATAATCCATTTGGGTTTGATGAGTTAATATTCATTAAATGCTTATGGACTACTTTGAGCATGATGATAAACAAGAAGCAATCACATTTTCTGTGATCACAGCCTCCCAGGTTCTTTTGGTTATACCTCAGGTCTGACTCATAATGGTCCAGTCACTTTGTGTATTGGAAATTTCAGTTTCAGGGCACTCCACTTTAAAACCTCAACCCATACCAACTTGAATATCCCTGTCCTCCCTGCCTCTAGAAAGCAAATATGAGCTTAAACGGCTTGGTTTTAGGAAAAGGAAATACCTGCTTTTTTATTTCTTGTCCCCCATCCCTTACCTCCCACTTTTCTCTATTCCTCAGAGAAAAAGAGAAAGTAGGGGGGAAAAAGTACCACATAATTTTATACCAACTTTGGTCTACTTGTAACGTTCACTTAGTGGGCATGGTTTCTGTATATTGAATGTCCAGATCATGCCACTCTCATGCAGTACAAATCTGAATTCTTCAATAATCTCTGCAAGAGCATTCCCACTTCCCAGAGACTCATGGTCATTCTCCTCAAAACTTGCAATTTCTTTTTCTGCTCTTATGGGATGTGTCACAGACACTTAGTGTATCCTGAAATAGAGCAATTGCAGGAAGGGCTCCCTAACTTCCTCCCATGTGCTCTCTAAGCCACAAGAACTCCAGCTCCTTTACCTCCTGGACAGTGACAGCATAGTCTTCTCTCCTCATCAGCCCACTTCTCCTCCCACCATATCTGCAATTCTATCTTCCTTCTGCTCAAAATGAGCACAGGGCAGTGCAGTAAGACCAGTGAATAAGGAAAGCTAAACAGGGAGTTAAAGTTGAATCATCTTACTAGTACTCTCTTCAATGGAGTGGTCCCCTGGACAGAATGATCCCTGCTGCAAGAGTCATAAGGTTTCTTCTCATGGACAGACTCAAAACAGGAGTTGGAAGGGATCCCAGGAGGCTAACCCCATCAGGGATCTGTGTGGTATGCAAGCTTCCTCCAAAGATGTACCTCATCACAGAGCCTACATTTGTACATGGAAAGCTTGGTCCTTCAAGGCTACCACACTATGAGGTATGATTTAAAACTTCTGTACCATTGTTGATGCTCTCTATTCCATTTCTGCTCTAACTTGGAGAGTGACTGCATGAAGAAAAGAGACCTCATTTAATTTTAGAAGGTAATAATGAATAAATAATAATTAAATAATAATGTGTTAGAAATTCTGAGTCCATTCTTCAATTTCCTCCATTTAAGGTAACATGATCAAAAATAAATTTATTGTTGAGCAAGTCCTCTTCAAAATGTGACCACTTAATTTATGGATCAACATTCAGACTTGATAGGCAAACACTGAAGATACAGTCTTGCAAAATGTGGGCCATGATCTGTCAGAAAGGAGGTTCCTCTCAGAGGTGGACATACCCTGAAGATGCCTTCCTTTGCCTTATATTGATCATTGCTTTTGTGGATCATGAAAACTCTTGGGAAGTGTGAGAGGAGCTTGCATGGTGGCTCACACCATAGCAATAGCTACTTTCAAAGTAAATATGTATCTTTGTCCTATAAACATCCATTTAAGCATTCCAAAATTTTAACTGTGGAATGGTTGTATTTTTACATATCGTCTGAAGATCACCCCTGTTGAACAAATTGAGCATGTAGTTTTAGTTATATTACTTCTGAAACTCCATTGAAATGCCCCCCAAAATAGAAAGCAGATGGGATCAAACCAATTAGAAAACCAGATAATTACACAGCCTGTGCATGCACGTGTGTGAACACACACAAACCCACACACACACATATACACACAATCTCAAGGCTATTCTTTCTTTTATCTCTCAATTGATTTAGACCAAAGTTCCAAGTTACAAAAAGAGCCACCAAAGAGAACAAAGGAATGAATATAATAAAAGCATTTCTGGAAAAAGTTTCTTTTGGGTTAAAGAAAGGTCTAAGACTTTACTTCAAAGTGTCTGCCATCACAGAAAGGCAAGTGCCACATATTTTCTTTTGTATGGGGAAGCTAAAAGGAGTGGGCCTAAAAGTAGGCTCAGTGGCCAGAGAAAGACAGTTGTTTTAAGATGGAAAATGACTATCAAATTTCTCATCATCCCACTAGGTTCTAGAAGGCAATGGAGAAATGGTTTTCAAGTTCTGAGGGATTTCTTTTTGAACTAGAGTTCT